TCTCTCTCTCTCTATATATATATATATATATATATATATATATATATATATATAGTTACAAAGGAGAGAGAAGGTAGTAAGCAAGCAGAGTTCTCCTGAGTTAGCAGCAACTCGGAGGACTCGGAGAACTCGGTCGAGGTGTTGACCGGATCGCACGCTGCAACTCGACTTCTTCGAGCAGGAGTGGATGAAGTCGAACTGATGACTGATGCCATAGTTACAGAATCAGTCAACACGCAGCTCCACGCAAGAATGTAGCGAATTATGGCATAGCTATCTCCCTCAGTCGTTTACTAACAGCGGCTCTTTTATGCCACCGCAATGATTTAGAGTTTGATTAGGTCATCAGTGATAGTAAGAGGCTTAAGCTATATTAAATTATAAACAAATGACAGTGAACAAACAAGACAGTATAGGAGAGTAGGTTTATTCATTAACCATAGGAAAGTTTGATGATCTGATATAGAGTTAACGCACAACAATTTTAGAACAACACTGCTGCTTCTGATTCTAAATTGACAACACGAAGAAGCAGGAACAGTGACAGGTCGTCAATCTTGGAATGGAACACGGTGACTGGAGACTCACAAAGATACAGCGACAGGTAGATACATGCATAATGTTGTCATCGAACGACAGGGCATAGCAACTCACAAGAAATCCCAGACTGGAATAGCACATTGACCTTGATCGCTGCTTTGGTGGTCGAGCTGGGCATTGCTGCCGATGAACTGTAGGGCTTGCAGGTCTGGTGTCGGAAAACCCTGCATGCAATTTTCGAAGGGTGCTCATGGATTAGCATAACTCAGAATCGTCCATCTATGGAGTAGAAACAATAGCTATCTGCTTCTATATGACAGTGCTATTGTCATGAAAGAATAAGAAACAAGCAAGGTTTTGTCGCAGGAGTTGACATTGGTTTAATCACCTGGGTGAAGTGGGAGCTACTGGGAAATGGCTGTGGTGGCAACGTTTGTGCTGAAGAATCCTGAATGTTGGACACAGATGAGTAAGCTCTAATTTGACAATAATTGAATCATGAACTTTAAGAACATCATTTACCTGACCAAATTGGGTCATGGGATGAAACCCTTGCACAGCACCAAGTCCAAACTGATGAGAAGTTACAAAAGGACCCTTCATTAAGAAAACGGAACCATTACATGAAGACATGGCGACCATATATAGAAAAGGGAATACATCAAAATATAGTGTTTTTCTTTTTCAAGGCAAAAGTCAACCTGCATAAATTGATTAGGCGCAAGGAATTGGTTCGACGGATTCCCAGGTTGAGAAGGCATACTGGTTGGAGGTATATGAGATTCACTGTCTCTAATTGCAACTTCTGCCTCATCGGATGGTCCTATAAGGAGTGTATTATAGATCGTGGCATACACTGAATATAATTCATGACAATAGTACACAAAATAAGCGTACAAATGTATACAAATTTTGTGCAAACCTTTTCTTGCCTTTTGCCGTTTGTTAACCTCCACCTCATTTTGTTGCCTACGACGTGTACCTCCGTTGTTCTTCTTTTTCCCACTAGGCTTTTGAGTTTCGTTACCATTGTCTTGGCCTGGGTTTACACTATCAATCAGATTATGAGGTTGACCTTTTGATGTGCCACTGACAGATGGCTTCTCAAGAAGTTTTGACTGCAAAATCTGCTCTACTTGTTCAAGAAGCTGATCAGAATGGTTGACCATTAACCTGAAAGCTTCCTCATTTTCAGCAGCCCTTGCTGCAAGTTTGAACAAGACACGACAAAGAGAGCCATAACGCTTCGATACAGATGACTTGGGGTCACTGTCCAATGTTACACCATGACTCTCACTTAAGCTCCCAGCCTTAGCATCTTTTCTCCACCTCTTTAAGATGAATTGTGGAGGAAGTTCTTTAATATTTCTAAAGTCTAGTACTTTTAATACATGACAGCACTGAATCCCAACAAATTCAAACTTACTACAACTACAAATGACTGAACCATCCGATGAATCAAATCTGACATAGTGCACTTTACTTTTCTCCTTGACAGTGACCTGATATTCAGATAAGCTTCCAACTTCACCACCGCTGTAAACCATACAATCCAGGAACAATTCAAACTCTCTTCTGAAAATTTCAAAGACAGCAGGCGTATATGCACTTGAAGCTTGCCAGAGTAGCCGCAAAGGAGGTATTCTTGGAGTACCTTGATTTGCATTATAATCAGCTTGGAGCTCTGCATATCTTCGTTCCTCCAATAGCATCTCATATATATCCAGAAAGTGTCTTAGATCTTTTTCCAAGTTCAGGTGCTCCTTAAGCAAACTACTCAAGCTTTCCACTCGTAATGTACTTTTTATATCAGCAGAAAATGTTTGCCGGCCATATGCAGAGGACCAATTTTCCCGTTCTTCATACAGTTTAGTCAACCACTCGTTATCCTTAAGATTATACTTCTCCAACATCAGATTCCACGCCAAAAGAAACTCATCTTCATCCTCAAAGTCATAGATACATTGGCTGAAATCATGAGCAAAGGTTTCCAAGCTTTCAAAGACATTGGCTAGTTGCTTAGTGGCATTTTGGTATATTTGCTCTATACAAAGACGTTGAACTGTACCCGGCCATGCAGCAGCTATTGCATCACTTATAGCTGAGCATCGATCAGTGAAAATTGTTTTTGGTTGTTTTCCGCACATTGCTGTCTTAAAAGACTCAAACAGCCATTTATAAGATTCTACAGTTTCATCATAGAGAAATGCAGCAGCAAATATGACGGTTTGTTTGTGATGATTCACACCAATAAACAAAGCAAATGGCCGGCCATAATCGTTGACTTTATAGGATGTGTCAAAACACACAACATCACCAAAATAGTGATAATCGATCATGGATTTTGCATCAGCCCAGAAGACATTAGTCATTTGATCATATTCATCAACCTGGATGGCATAGTAAAATGAAGGATTATCACCTTTCATCCTCTGAAAGTATTCCAACAAGGCTCCTGTATCACCTAACTGCACATCCCTAGAACGTTTTGCTCGGAGGTAATTCTTATATCCAGCAGGTATTATACTAGCATTCTGACGGCCTACAGGTTGGACCTTAGTTAACAGTTTTTTCGAACTTAACATCTGCATGTCTAGGGGAGCTGCAAGCTGATGATTATGATCTGGTACAAATTCTGTTATACGATATTTACCACTGGATGTCAGTTTTATAGCCATACGAGCAGGGCAACCAGTTCTTGTTTCTGCTCGTGGTCTCCTTGCCTCATTCTTCGGTCGAAATCCCTCTCTAGAACATACATAAACCCGTGATCTAGTAACATTTCTGGCAGATTTATCCCACCAGCCTTTACGGACACTAAAACCTATACTTCCAGCATACTTGATGTAATAATCATATGCCTTATCCTCATTTTCAAACACCATACCCACAATAGGCACTCCTCCAGCATTTGCAACTACTTCTGCAGGCAACTCTGGCTCTTCTTCTATTGTTTCTTCCTGTCTATTCATGGTCTAAAAAATAGCTCATCAGGTTAGAAGAAAATACCAAAACTAACAAGTTAGCAGAACATGCATGAAATGTACATCAAAGAAAATGGTATAAGAAAATAAAACAGAGAAACTGAAATACTGGTTCAACTACATAAATCGTTTATAAACTCTAAATACAGCAAAAACACATACATATGACTCTCCCTACATGATAAAGTTTAGTATCAACTCAATCAAGCAACAAAAGGAAGAATCAGATACTCCCAAAACAGCTTGCAGGTGAATAATGCCACAAATTTCTGATCAACAACAGAAATCTATAGATTTAGTTAGGTCATAATTTTGAGTCCAAATCTAAATCAAATTATTTTGTGTTATTGATACTTACAGATGTAACTGTGACCATATTTTTAGTGGCTACTATTAGGAATACTTTAGCCTTATGGTGCCCTAGAAATGCCTTTAAGTCCTATTTAGGTAGACATGGACTCCAGATATTTCTTTTAGAGACTAGTACTGATGTGAGGACAGCTCCAAAAGTCACTTGAAACAATCCTATGAACAATTTCTTGAGAAGAATTTTTGTTCGACAAGATCTTTTATTGTAGAATCCTAATTAACATGGACTTGGATCTAGAAGGCCTATAATTAAGAAGGTGAAATAAGACCAACTGAAACTCTGAAAGTCGGTTCTTTTTTTTTTGAGACAGCATGCCTTGATGCTTTTCCTTCTCCAATTTCTGTGATTTTCCTTGAAAATATCCCCACCCATCTTGATATTAAGTGACAACAACATCAAATGCATTGTTCATCAACAGAAATACTTCACATATCAGTTCTACTCAGATTTCTTATTTTCATACAGGCTGCAAAGCATTTTTCATGATTCCCCCTGCTTCCAACTATTTATCTCAGAAGGAAACGCTCACATCCTCGAGATGTTGTTGAAGTCAAACTTGATTTGATCCGATGTCAATAATCTTAACCGAGTCTGACAAAGTGGAGGAACCTCCACAAGCACCATGGATCATAAGGACTTCCAAAAGATGTTGAAATAGTTATGGGTCTGGTGAAGTGGTAGATTCATCATAAAACCTAAAGAGTTAAATAAGAGGATAACCTGCAAGATGAGCCAATAGAATTTTGAGGTTGTGCTGCAAACAGTTAATCAACCATTTGATAAGAAGTCACAACACATGCAGCTAGTGATAAGAGTCATTTCACCAAATTGTTGATCTGTTCTCACTTGAGATTTGAGAATTCTGCAAAAGATGCATGTAATATGTGTGTATCCAGAAGTGATTTTATGCCAAATTTGTGCAAAGGCTGGTTCAAACAGCAACCAAATGAGCATTAGTCAACAGTTATAGAGTGTTTCCCATTGTTCTTAAACTTGCAAAATAAAAGATTTCATGAATAAGATCAATATTGTAGAAGTTATCTGATATATGTCCATAGGACTGGATTAAGTCTTAATTTGAGTCTAGTTCCAGTCAAATATTATTTTTGGTAGGTCAGATTTTCTAAATTATTTCGTTTCAAATAAACTTTAATCTTTATTCAAAGTGGTTATATTAAAGGGCATTAGAGTCATATTTCAAGTTCTCGAATTCTATAATCCCACTTCAGTAAAGATTTCAGTGTAAACTGCTTCCAAATGAAAGATAATAAAAAGCTGATTAGTGATTAGTGATCAAACAAAGGCTCATTCAGGCCAGATCTGAACTTCCCAACCTGCATTTCTTCCATTAGATACCCCGTGCTCTCCCAATGCCTAGTTCAAGATCCATGCCTTTCACATGTGTAATCATATTTGTAGGCACTGCTAGCACCAATAGATCCATAGGGTTCACAGCTTATGTTACAAACATCACAGGTTGTACCTATCCATCACATTACTCAGAATTACACTGACCTTCCAACTAAACGTTTGGTCCTATCCAGTTTCATATCATCAAGCTATGTTTTGTTTGACAATAATATAATTAACAAATAAAATAAGATGTAGACTCAGATCCAGTTCATCAGTATCCTATCATGAGGATGTGAATATTAGATAACAAAGGGTAGGACGAATAACTAAACAACGAAGAATATCAAATACAAGTAACTCATACCAAGTTAAGAATGTTCTGTATTGACCAATAATATAAATTTACAGGACTAACCTGTCTACAGGTCCAAATAATAGGAACTGAAAAAACAAAATCTGCACTGCTATTGATGTAGCAAGATAACTACCTTGAATGGGCTACCACAAGCTATGACTTCAAAAAAGAATCTAGAATGTTCCCAGACACAGCTGAAAAAACAAAAAATAGAGTACTTTCTTTGCTTCATATGTGTTGAAAAGAGACGCAAAGACTAATCAAAACAAAGGACCACAAAATACATGGATTGAATACAAATTGCAGAATATGCCATCTGTTCTCATGCCCCAAAGAGGATTCTCTTACACAAATAAACTGCTTTATCTATCTAGTGCTTCCTGATACTATGAAATAAGTTTCATCATTCTTCAAAAGAAATTGTAAAGCATCACTTATGCATTTTCATGCAACCAATTAAACAAGACACGTGTGTTTCTGACAAAAATAATCATTTCCACACCATATGGGTTGAATCTACATTATGACTTCTTAAAGTCACCGAAGGGCATCAAAATAATGTGCAGTAGCTTTCCTCATGTCCTGATAGAATAGCAGAATGTATAGACACAGATGGTTGTAGTCTTCGACTCCCCATCTCTGAAATTATGACACAATTTTTGGCAAGTCTCTCATAACACATTTAAGGAAAATGAGAAACAATTACACAAGGTGCCAAATAAGAAATGGTGTTATTTCCTATGTAAATTCTAAGGAGATACTATCTTTAAATCATTGTGCATAAAAAGCACAGACATACATATTAAAACTAAGTTTACATGTAGTTATTTTTCAAAAAAAATTATAGTCATATGCAATTAGTTCGGTGCCACGAACCCCAGCAGTGCATGCCTGCAGGCTGTCCGAAGCTGACTACACAATGCAGCATTAAGTAAGCACAACTGTCTACAAAAACAACAGAATACAATTTTCAAACGTATTTACCTTTCTGTTATATGGTGTAAGGCAATTTTTGTCAAAACTTTTGAACAGAGATGACAAGGTTTTACAATAATGTTGCAAAAATAAGAAACTTGACTATTCACTTTAATTTTGACCTTGTATAATTCAGCTTACTGTTCATCAGATGTAATTATTGCAAATAACAACAGATTTCCCTTATCCCAACCATACACAATTCTGGGAAAGTCACAGAAAACAGAAAAGTTCTTCAACAGAAGTAGATGACCATAGCATCTTATTTTCTTACCTTGAAACTTATGCAAAAAATCGAGTCATTTCTATGTTTCTTACACCATATCTAGCAAGGTATCAAATAATGATACTAGATCCATATCGGCCCCTAGTCAGATCAACAAATGCCAACGTACCAACCAGTGAAGTTACTGGAAGCCCGAGTGCTTACCTAGGCACCCAAGCGAGACGAGGCCCGAGCACCCACCGATTGGGCTAGGCAAGTGACTTGACTCAGGCGCTGGCTTGGGCCCAAGCGCTAGGCAGGCCTGGTTCAACTCAAACCTAAGTTGAACCAAAATACTCATATGGTTCAATCAAACCAGGTATCCATCGCAGAAACCCACCTGCGAGTGCCCTAACATAGAAGTCCTTTCCCCCACCACGTTTCTCACGATGACGGAGTTCCTCCCATCAGCGAATGACGGCAGTAGCGGCAACTTCTTCCCCTCCCTCTAAGTATATCGCTCTTTCTCCTCCTTCCTCTGCCCCGTTCGCTGCAACCCTCCTACGTTCGCCGCAACCCTCGTATGGTGTCACCATAGCCCCCCATCTCCCCCCCTCTTCCCCAGTCACTCTTGTCTCTTCCTTCTTCCCTCTTCCCTCTTCAGCCCTCCCATGTTTCCTCTTCACCCCTCCACCGCAGTCCGCAGCCTTCTCTTCCCTCTGTCGCAGCCCTCCTATGTTCACCACAGATCTCATATGGTATCACTGCAGCCCCCCATCTTCCCCCCTCTTCCCCAATCACTCTTCTCTCTTCCCTCTTCAGCCCTCCTATGTTCCCTCTTCACCTGTCCATCGCAGCCCTCCTGTGTTCACTGCAGCCCTCGTATGGTGTCACCAGCAGCCCCTTGTCTCCCCCCCTTTTCCCCAATCGCTCTTCCCTCTTCCCCATTCACCACTGCCCTCCTACAGTCCTACGTTCCTCACTCTTCCCTCTGTGTCAAATTTGCAGATTTTGGAATTGTTTCTTTGGATGTTTTTATGCTTGAGTTTTGGGGTAATCGGTTTGGAATTTGGTTTCACAAGAGTATGCAATGCATGCAATGAGTGTTTGTTACTTATTGTTGATTGGGTGGAAAGCTTTTAGAGGAAATAGCATTTGGTTTTACAAGAACAGTAGCTGCCTGCCGAACAGCAGCTTTCTTCTTTGCTGTAGTGAATCAGTAAAATGTCAATTATTATGGAAGAGGTGGAAGAAAAGGAATATAAATCATCTGCAGAGGAAGAAGAGGAAGATGGTGACAAGATTGAAGATGATGAACTGAATGTTAATGATCTTTGATTTTAACTTTGTTTTATTTTGTCATTTTTGCTATTAGATATGGACAATATAGTTTGGTACTTTAAATGAATGCAAGTTTGATGTGTTATTTTAGTTTATTTTTATTGATTATGATATATAATTTTTAAATATAATATTCGGGAGCGTCTCGCTTCGCTCGGGCGAGCGCTTAATACCTTGAGCATTTTGAGACCATGACGCCTTTTGACACCTAGTGCTTTTAACTACATTGGTATCAACACATGATATATCGGTTTACCAGTCGGCATAGACCAAAGAGAAAAAGGGACAGAAAATAGGGGAGGAGCAGGAAGGGGAGAAGGAGGGAGAGGAGAAAGAGATTGAAAAAAATAGAAGAAACAGAAGAAGAGGATGAGAAAAAAACAAAGGAGGACAAAGAGGAGGAGCACTAGAGACGGAGGAAGAAACAACAGTGGTGAGACAGCAAACTACTGCAAGGCAATGTGTGGTGGCAGCAAGGTAGCAGCAGGCATGACAAGAGACATTAGAAGAGAATTGGGAGGCAGGAGAGGATAGAAAGAGATAGAGAAAGAGAGAGGAGCTTGGGAGAAATAAAACAAAAAATTGATTGGGATATTGGTTTTACCCTATACCTATAGAACTGAGTGATAAGTCCAGTTTTTGACCCAAACCAGGCAGTAAGCCTCGGTCCAAACCTAGACCAGGTGGTAGGGCACAATCCATGTATCAGTTTTGGGTCATACTAGAAAATAATGGGTGTTGAATACCAGTCCACCCGGCATTTAAAACCATGATCATCTAGTATGTTTGATGATTGGCTGTGCATATCATAACAATGTCTTGGTAATCTCTGGTTATTATTAACCTGATGTTCCTCACTTTGCAACTGGTAGTGTATGAAATGGTATCCATAAATATGTAAACATTTCTTGGTAAATCCCAAATCCAATAAGAACCTCCTTCAACATGAATTATTAGTAATGTCTTTCTTACATGATTCCACAATGTGGATGATGCATACTGTGTAAGAAGAAAATTTATGGACTCATTACAAGAATAATTAAAACAAAACAAGAATTTTCCTTATGGATAATCATAGGATGAGGTATGCCCCACAGGAGAAAGGCCAAGTTTATTTGTAAACAAGATACATACATCCCCAAAAACTTATGGACTCATCACAGGAATAATTAAAACAAAATAAACTTATGGATAATCATAGGATGAGGTATGCCCCACAGAAGAAAGGCCCAGTTTATTTGTAAACAAGAAAAATACATCCCCAAAATCTTACGTAGGCATATGCTAAATTCCTCATATAATTACTACATATGACCTTTGAAACTATCTTAACCCAAATAAAGATTAAACCTCATGCTACAGTATACAAAAAACAATAAATAACTGCAGCTCAGGCAAGTTATATAAATGAGGCATAAGCATTCAAATGAAAGATAAGAGATATCCAACAAGCTGAGAACCATGATGTGCTTTATACTAGAGAAACATAACTTCGGATGCAACAAATACACTCAAAATCCAAGGCTCCAAATTTACCTGTGTTTCTTCTCTACTAAGAAACTTCCCTCCAACACCTCGCTGCCTTCTTTCTGCGAGCGCTTGCCGGGAGGGTATCTGTCAAGAAGAGTACATAAATCATACATTAATCAAATTCAGAAACATAAGCAAAAACTACATTTCTTTTTATGACAACTTGCTCTCCTTTCCCTGAAATAGGCATCACATTTAGAACAGTTGCAGATACTCGCAACCATAATTGAGAGAAGTTCATAAAGTTACCTTAATGGATCTGTCCACTGCTTGCCTACCACTCCTTTTTTGCATGTACTTGTGTATTATATTCCTCCTTTCCTCATGTGTGTAGCGTGACACTCTTATCCCAAGCTCTCTCAACAACCGTGATTGTCCTGGATTCGATACCAGTGGTACCTTTCCAGCATCCTTCCCTTTCCCTTTCTCATTTACAGAACTAGACGGAGTCTTTCCTGCATCTGAAGTTTCGGGCCGACCACTTTGGACCTCCCCTCTATGCTCATCAACTGCCATGCCTTCTTTATCCGTTGAGCTCTCAAGCTGAATCACTTCCACCGCATTGCCATCTTTCTTGGCTTCTTCTGCTTCCTTTTCAGTTCTTTTCTTATAAGTCCCACGCTTCCTCTTCTTCGTTGAATTCTCAGCGGCATTATTGTAGGTGGGGAAGTGCCCCTTAGAGCATGAGAACCTCTGCATGATCAAGAGCCGGGTACCCCTTGACCGCTTCCCTGAGCCCATCTTGGACTGGAACCCCATCTTCTCACTGTAAGCACTGTAGTACTGCTTTGCAGCTGAGATGGAGTCAAACTCCATGCCCACCACCGGGACAAGCCCGCCGGCGGCGAGAGTCCCAGCGGGGTCCGGCGGTGGGTCAAGCGGGTGGGTATGTTCCAGCTCTATCTTTGACACCCCCCACCGCCCGTTCTCCCTCCGCGTCACCTCCATCGTCGCTCTGCAGCGGTCCTCCCCATCAGCAGCAGAGGCAGCAGGGGCGTGGGCGGTGGCACTGCCGGGGCGCATGTGGAGGTAGCTGCGCATGATGTAGGCGACGCGCAGGGCATACTCGTTATAGGGGACTTTGACAGGGGCGGACAGAGGAGGGGCCGGAGCCGCGAGCTGGGAGTCGTCCGGCGGCGCGGAGCTCGATGAGGGGGGAGGCGGAGAAGGAGGGTTACTCTCTGACGGCTCAGGGGGCGTATCCTGGGGCAGGGGCGACTGCTCCTGCTGCTCTGACATGGGGAGCGGCTCCTGGGTCGGAGTCGGGGGCTGCGGTTGCGTCTGCTCCAACTCGATGGGGTTGGTGTCCTGGGCAGTGGTCTCAGCGGCGGCCAAGGTAGGCTCTGCATCGTCCGATTGTTCCACCTTGGGATCGGGGGGCCCGTCACCTTCAGCCTTGGGGGCTTCTTCGGTGATCTCGGAGATGAGCACCATGGCAGCACGGGATCGAGCGAAGGAGGAATTGAACCGGAAACCCTAGGCTTCCAAGAGGCGTCAGCTTGGGGAGCCCTAGGTGTGGTTCTTCCTCCTCTTCTGTTCCGAAAAACCTAATGGATGGATCCCGGAGTGGGTGAGGGGGATTGGAGGTGCGGAGGAGAGGCAGAAGCAGGGGCGTAGAGGAGGGGATCCCTCGCGAGGAAGGAGGAGCAGGGGAACGAAACTCCGCCACTTGGGATGGTGATGGTGCCCTGGGACCCTGCAGGCGAAGACTCACGTGCCTGGTGCGTGGGTCTCAAGATAAGGTCGACGGTGTCCCAGGCGGGTGGGGTCGTGGCAGCGGGGGGACCCGCTTGCCTCCCTCTTCTTGGGGTTCTTAAACCGAATCGATCATAATTTTAAGCATGGTTTGTCATTTGGTATCGTATCGAAGTTTCGAGTTCAGTTCAATACGTTCGCTCTGACATATATATATATATATATATATATATATATATATATATATATATATATATATATTTATTTATTTATTTATTTGAATGATACACTCTGACATATATATACATATATATATATATATATATACATATATATATGGGGTGATGTCGTCGAGGCGATGTCACATCGTTTCTTCTCCCCCACACGGGGAGAAGAAAACCTCAAAACATTGGTGACGTCACTGAGGTTTCTTCACGCGAAGTTTCTTCTTCTTGCAAAGCCTTGACGACATCGTTGAGACTTTTTCTCTTATGCGAATTAGGAGAAGTTCCCGACGACGTCGAGACCTCATCACCTCAGACAAGGAGGAGGTGACATCACATCTACAGTATTTGACGAGGGAGGGCAGCGACGGATCGAGATCGTCGAGGAAGAGTGACATCGGATCTCCAAGTTCTCCCTTTATTTTTCCCTCAACTAATACCGCCCGGTAGCAAGTAGCAACGGTCGAAAATCGATTATTACCAATCGATTTCATATGGTAATGGGGCAAAAACAACCCCAATCGACAATATTGCTCGGTATCGACGGTATCATTCGAAATTAAAAACCCTAGTTTAAAGGATTGATAAATAAATATACGTAGATAGTTATACGTAGATAGTTATTTCACCACAACTCACCCTCAACAAGGCCGCATCCCCACCCCCACCTCTTCTCGCTAACAACATGTCATGACACGAATGGCAAGTCACGAAGTTGGTTTTATTCATGGTTAAATCAATGACATTATGACATAAGGTGTCATAGTGCAGTACCATACGCGTCGACGAAGGGGTACCCAAGACAGGAAGCTTTAGGGATGAGGAAGATAGGCAATGAGATATCGAATATGGGGACAAGAGAGAGCAGCAAAGGGCAGTGCAGGTGACGTCGAGGATGCTATTGAGGTGGGGGAGGAGAAGGGGCAAAGGAGGAGAAGATGAGCAACACCACTCCCTTATCCCCCTATTTTCATCAAATATGATGGTATATTTTCATCAAATTAATTAAAAAGATATTTTTAAATAAAAATTAATTAGATGAATATCATTTGATAAAAGTCTGACAATAAAAACATTTTTAGGGCAAAAAAAACACCTTACATTCATAATATTGACCCAAAAAATCCTGACATACAGGAACCATTTTATCCAAATAAACATCTAATCTAATATTCTAGACTCGATTTACTAAGACAGACACCAACATGAACATCATGAACACATGTCATCGTTCACACATTCAAAAAGAAACAATTCTCAAATCACTTATCTTGTAAAAGAAATATAAAAAAAATTCAAAGGATATTCTTTTAATATCCTACAAACTTGCAACGAAATGTACAAGAAAT